GCTCCCTTCGGAGCACGAACATATTTCGAAGACCGAATCTGTTTTCTAGAACCATCGCATCAGATCGATGACTCCACCATTTCCATTAAAGGAATTGGGTTTGCAGTTCAAGAAGTCCTTATACGAACACTCCCTTGGGTGTCCGTGAGTAACTACGGGGGTTATGTGGGTACCGCTACCAGTTCTGTAGGTACCACTTTCGCTGATGTGAGATAGAGCAGCTGCCACTGCGGCTGATATCGCTTCTTGGAGAGCAGCAGGATCGAACTGTGGAGGAAGTAGTGGTGTTTGATTTGGAGTTATCGGAGTAGTGCGTCTGTGTAATCTGCGAGGAGGCATCTTTGCTAAAAGAATACAAAGATGAGATGGAATAAGTCTATAGCAGTGGTTTATAAGCCGAAAGCTGAAAGACAAGGTTATCCTAGTTCTGAGTGTATCTGGGTCTGGAAACAATTCATAAAGGTAGTCTATACAAAATAAACTTTATGAATTTAGAAATGGCTATCCTCGAATGAATACCTGTGACCTGGAAAATTATTACCAGTTGCATGTAAAGAAAATAATCCTAACACATAGTGTGAGCAGTGTTTCCACTAACTCATTAAGTTAACCAATATTATTATTTATTAGTGTGATGCATAAGACGTTTTGGTTACTTCGGTTGATCCTTCTTTGAAAACTTCTCATCAACTTGCTCTTGTTCCTCCTTGACTCTTCTGTTGACCGCTATGAGGAAGTGGTTACATTTATCTGGGTTTTTCGTGCGAGAATGGAAGTGTGTAAAGAATCTATGAGATTTAAGTGAAACATTATGGGGTGATCCTTACAGAGTCCTTCTACAATTGCACAATGTATATAAGTTGTATATAATTTAAGATTAAATAGACCTTCGAATAAGTGATCATACTCCAAAACCACAACCAAACAAGGAACAGGTAGTGAAGCGTAGATCACAAATTCTAAGTCTATAAAATCTCAATTATATAAAACCTTGGGAGTATACATTGCAAGATTATAGACCTATCCGTAAGGGTCGTTTAAGTTATCACATAAGTTATTTATATAGTGGCTAAAATACTCCTGTAGTATTTTAATGTAATGAACTTGGTATGTTTTAAACTTGTTGTTGTGTTATAGTATCATAAAATACTCCCATAGCATTTTATCCTTATGTTCTGATCTAGAATTCCCTTGAATAGAGTTAGGTAGGTTTTAAGACTGTTGCAACACCACATCACTCCCAAACACATGTCGGTCACAACTCGAATGAATATAGTTGATCAGGCTATATTGATCCTAGCTATAATTACATAACTGTCCAGGTTTGACCGCAATATTCAACCTTTAAATACTTCTGTTCTGTTCTTCTTGTGATACTTATTCTAGTATGTATATATGTATAAGCACGTATGTATACTTTTATAAGGTATTGTTATATTTTTAAAATATAATATTATCAAGAGCACTTCGGCCCCATTGTATTTATAGTTGTATATCTTTTATCGGTTGATATACTTAGTTCACTATAAACAATGGTCTGATACCAATCTGTCACACCCCAAAACCAGAACGGCAGAAACGTTCGGGGTTGGAGGACGTCATGTTTAGTATCAAGACATACATCATAGTAATCAAAGAAATAAACAACCATTTCATTAGAAAGAAAGTGTTTACAAAGTATGTGGTTCACATAACATAGATTACAAAGTAAATAACAAAACAAGACATGGGTGGTGGGTTGTCTGAGGAGATAACACGTAGTATGCCAGCAAATCTCAAAACCCAATACTGACACCAAGAATATAAATATTGACATAAAAACACCAAAGGTAGAAAAGAGACGGATTTGAATAACCAAATGACTGGTTTTGCCCAAATATGATGAAGTTTACTATTCCTAACAATTGTCCAAGTTTAATATATATATATATATATATATATAATATATATATATATATATATATATATGAAATGTTTGGCAAGGATTAAAATTATGAACAACTATTAAAAAATTCATTATAAGTCAATATTTTATAGATATAAAGCTATTGAAAAGTATACATTGAAGTATTTTATTGGATAATACTTTTTAAGCTATTTAAAAATACAATTTAGCAAATTAATAAAGACAAAATTGCAAAAATGGTCCCTGTGGTATGTATTTTTTTGGGGTTTTAGTCCAAACCATGACTTTTTTGGTTTCGTGGTCCTTTTGGACTAGTTTGCATGTGAAAATGGTCCCTCCTAAAATTGAAATGACTAAATTGCCCTCTAGATATATCTTTTATATTTTTTCTATTTAATTTAATGTTTTATTAATAATAAAATGGGGCCCACACCCCATTTTCTCTCTCTCTCTCTCTCTCTCTCTCTCTCCGTTTTGCTGCCAAGAAACTCCACCGGAGGTGATGCGTTTCCCGACCACCACCATGGGCAACAAACCCTTCCTTCTCCTTCTTCAATCCCAGCTGCCAAACACCTTTGCAATTTTCGAAAAGCATCACCCAAACACCCCTGCCCCTTCGTGTTTAACTGTCGGTGACAGGAGGAAAGAAGCCAAGGGAAGCCGCCAGAGCAGCCTCCGTTTCCTTCGTGATTCACCACCGAAAAATCGACTCTCGTCCTCCCTCGTTCTTTCTTGTCGAACAGCAACATCCAATCACCCCCTATTCGCCGCTGCTACCACTGCTTTGTTCCTTCGTTTTCATTACTGTTGACGACAAGAAAGGAACCCACGAGGGCTTGCCGAAGAGCAGTTATCCCCTCCACCATTTGCTCATCGATTCCACAACGAAACACCCCCGAAGATCCTTGCTCCCTTTGCTCGTCGGAGACGTCGACTACTGCCCCTCGTCGACGTACACAGCCCCTTCTGCCATTTTTCGGTGCTACTATTTGCTGCTTACCTTCGATCTGTGGCTGCCGGCGACGAAGTTAAGCCAAGAGGATCGCCGTAAAAACGGGTTCCTTTCCCCCTTAACATATCTACCATCGCAGGTAGCTGGAGCGGAGACAATAGCATCCTTCTTTTGTTTTGTTTTTCTGGTGAGTCGAAGAAAAAAAGAGGGAGAGGGGAATCAAGAATTAGCAACAGAAGATGAGGGTGTTTGGGTGGTGATTGTCAATAGAAAAAGGGAAGATGATGATAGGAGTTGTTTGTCTTCCTTGGTGGCCGGAAAACACCGTTTTTGGTGGGTGGTCTTGCCGGAAATCAAGAAGAAAGAAAGAAAGAACCGTAAGAAATGGGGGAGAGAGAGAGAGAGAGAGAGAGAGAGAGAGAGAGAAGATAGAGAGAGATGTGGGCCCCAAATTAGTTAATTATTTTATTTTTCATTTAAATTAAATAGAAAAAGCATAAAACCCCAAAAAAATGCAACGAAACTATGTCAAAAGGACCACCAATCCAAAAAAGTCGTGGTTTGGACTAAAACCCCAAAAAAATGTATACCATAGGGACTATTTTTGCAATTTTGTCATTAATAAATAACTAAAAGATGTATATTTGAAACAAATATATATAAAAATAAATAATAAACTCTTATTCGTTTTTTTGGACTATTTGGTTTTAAGTTTATAAACCGTAAACAATCCGATATCCAAAATAATAATTCGGTTTTTCTGGAAACTCATCCAAAAATCCAAAAATCCGAAACAAATAGTCCAATATTCGGTTTTAATCCGAATAGTGAACAACCCTAATAATTTAATAATTATAAACAAAGCTACGGTAAAATATAAAAAATAAAACATGATGGATTTGTTTTATTAAGATTTTTTTTTTTTTTGTAAGAAGCCCCAAAAACAAAAACGTTGATACGAATCTTTAATATTTGTTTCCGCAAAACCCAACTCATTCTCTCTGCCTCTCTGCCTCTGCCGCTCCCTCTCTCGCACAAATAGCTTTCGCACAAATATCTCTCTTCCTCTCCAATAATGAATCCAATAATAAGACCATCAAAGACGTTTTGGAGTAACTAACCAACTGTCTACATTTTTATAGCTACACTCTGTTTATGTCTTCCTTTTCAATTATGTCGTTCGGGTTTTTTTTTTTTTTTTATATGAAAATTTGGATTTTTTTTTTTGATTTTGATAATGATGCCGGTAACGTGTTTAAACCAGGTTGTTTGATCTGGTGATTGTTTGAAGAAATTTCTCTTTCTTATTAGCAAAGAGGATGTGCAAGTGTTGGTCTAGATTTTAAGATTGTGTTATACTTTTTCCATGTTGGTAAATTTACTGTTGGCAACTACATGTATATAAATAAATTTATTTATTTATTTATTATTATTTTTTTGTGTGTGTGTTTGTATTATGCATCTACAAAGCCTGCTTGTGTATATAAATTGGATGGTTTCTGTTTGTGTATTTATGTATCTTTGAAACGGGCAATAAATTGGATTTATAAGATTGCATTTAGGAGTGCTATTTGCATCATTGCGCTTGCTATGTTACAAATATGGTGATTGTGGGTGTTTATATAGGCACCGGTGTTTAAGGTTCATATTTATGAACACAGCCCTATCTGCATTCTAAAAATATATTGTGAAAAAAAAATGGTTGGTTGTGTTCATATCAAATGTATTTAACACTACCTTTCTGTTTTGTTTCACGTGTTACCTTTTTCCAAGCTGTATAGTTTCTTCAATTTTTTTCACACTCATATCGTTTTGATTTAGGTATTGAGCTTAAAAGTGGTGAATCGTTTGATGTCAACCTTGAAGACAAATTTTTGCGTCTTACACTGGTATAACACTATAACTTTTGCAACAGTGGTATATGCTTAATTTGCTATGTTATCAAATATCAATACAACTAACTAAATTTATTTGTGCTCAGGTTTCTCTTATAGAAATCGAGAATGAAACACCGGAGTTTGTTTCCTTGCACATCACTGAGAATGGCAAAAAGCGTGTATTTGCACGCCTTCACCCTAAGAGGCGGCCACAACTACCATTGGATGTGGTGTATGGCCAAAGTTTTCAGATCTCACACAACAGGAAAAAAGGCAGTGTCAACATCTTTGGATATAAAATTAAACTACCTTTTTACCTACCTAATTCTAAGCTTGGATATCCTTTTCTCAAACATATTGTTTTACTAACTTAGAATCTCTAAGTTTATATTGGTTTACTATTGAAGTTTGCTGTTTTGGCTCCTTGACCAGTTTGTGATCACTTTCTCTAAAGATGATACAAGTTCTGACATGATGATGAGGTACATAAATTCATAAATGTTTTCGTTGAAGTTTTCATGTAGGATAAAAACGTTGAAGTTTTCATGTAGGATAAAAACGCTGATGCATTCTTTTTTAGGATACGATGATTCCTCATGATGATGACAATGATGAAAATGAAGATGCAACAAAGGTTAGTTTTGATATTTTTAATTGAGATAGAATTATGAATAGAATTATATCATAATTTTTGTATGTTTTGATATTTTAGCAGCAATACCAAAAGAATAGACTGAATGTGTCTGCAAGTATGAGTCTTCATAAATGTACGAGTTCCATGTCGTAAATGTACTTTGTGTGTTTGCAATAACTTTTAAGACAGAGAATGCTAATTTGATTAGTAATTAAGAGATAGGGTTGCAGATTATGTTGATGAGTGACGAGGGTTGTTTATAATATCATGGTGTTTAGTAGATTTGTTGTAATTAGTATGAAAAAGACATCATATCCCGTCTTTATGTCGTGAAGATTAATGATGGCAAGTATAGTAATTTGCTGTTTGACTCCTTGACCAATTTGCCTGTGTGTTGACTCCTTGACAAATTTAGTAGATTTGCTGTTTTGATTCCTTGACCAAGGGTGTTAGTATGAAAAAGACATGATAAATATAAGAGTATCAAGTCTTTATAAAAATAAAAAAGAAAGAATGTGTTACTATTGAAATTTGTTGTTTCGACTCCTGAAAAATAACCCATAGCTTGTTGACAGAAATAAGACCAACTTGTTTTGATTTTGGTTGCCAAACAAATTGGTTTGATGTTTTTAACCTAAATCCAGATAAAAACTGATTTTAATTCCTTTATTGGGATATTTATAAATTTATTATTGTTTAATATAATTATTGTTAATGGTCAAGATATTTTGGGTTAATGAAATAACTTTTCAGTATAGAAAGGACTTTTCTAGATTGGATGTGTATTTAAGTGAAAATATTTTCCGTTGTTAAATTTGTTTTTTTACAAACGTGACAATTTTAGGATGTTTAAATGGTTAAACCAAATAAGTATTATATGTTTATTTTTATTGAGTGCATAATTTTATGTGATTGTGTTTTTTCAGAATCAAAACAAAATCCCAATAGTTAAATAATACAAAATCCAATTGTTTAACAAAAAAGCTTCCGCAATGATTTAGAGGACATTTGGGAGTTCATCTCAAAACAACTTATTAATTTATTGACTTTTTAAAAAATAAATAAGTAAAATTTTTTTGACTTTTTAAAAAATAAATAAGTAAAATTTTTTTTTGGCAAAAAGTACTTTTAAAACAATTTTTCTTTAACCCATAAAAAAGAGATTTTAAAAAGTTATAATTTGTAATTTTTCTAAACTTTTTATGACTTTTAAGTTGTAAAAATCAATTTTAACTTAAAATATTCTTAAGCTAAAACATATTTTTAAATAAACAACTTTTTGATTTTTTTTCCACCATAAAACCTAATCAAAATACTTTTTCAAAAATTTATTTTCCTATCATGATAAGTCAATAAATATTTTTTTTCTAAAAATCATTTTAAGAATCAAAATGATATCAAAACCTCCTCTTATCAAATTTGGCCCAATGAATATATTGACTTTATCCATCTTAGGACATAACGAAAACGTTTCTCTTTGGAAGATGGTCAAGACCATGAACTATGTATATCTATACTTAATACGGGAATATGACTTATTAAGGTAATTAACTTTTTGGTATGTTCACATCTGGGTAACTATATTTTTTTTGTACACATCTAGGTAACAAACTTGTTGCAAGTGTTCACATATGACCATTATGATCTGTTATAGCAGGTTAAATCCTAGATGTGAACGTTTTTAACAAGTTCGTTACCTAGATGTGTAAAAAAAATAGTTACCCAAATATAAACAAAACCAAAAGTAAAATTAAATTACACGAATGGTCCTTATGGTTTGGGGGAATTTGTGTTTTTGGTCCTTAACTTATTTTTTTAACTTTGATGGTCCCTACTGTTTATTTTTGTTGCGCGTTTGGTCTTTGTCTTACCTAAAAAGACTATTGTACCCTTATTAATTTATTTTTTAATTAATTTTCTTATTTATGTATTTATTTTTTACATATTAAAAAAATTAATAGACCCCACATATTTGTATCTCATCGAATGATCCTTACTGTCTATTTTTTAATTAGTTTATTTTTTTAACTCGGATGGTCCCTCCTGTTTAATTTTGTTACGAGCTTGGTCTATGTCTTACCTAAAAATACTATTATGCCCTTATTAATTTATTTTTTTAATTAATTTTCTTGTTTATGTACTTATGCTTTATATATTTAAGAAAATTTAGTAGACCCCACATATCTGTATCTCCTCACCATCCCATCTCTCATCCTTTTCAACTTATATTTATTTTCCATCTTTAGTGATATCGACGTCTTCATCATCCCTTCTTTTTTCGGTCCTTCAACTCCGTCGAATCAACACCACAACCCACTAAAGATGAAGAGACATTAGGTTATGGTGTTGGTTCGCCAGAGTTGAAGTACCAAAAAAAGAAGGATGGTGAAGACGTCGATGCTATTAAAGATGGAAAAGAAATAGAAGTTGGGGACGATGACAGATGGGATGGTGACCGGTAAGACCCAATTTAAAGTTCTCAAATATGGTTTCAGGTTTACGGTGAGGAGATACACATATGTGGGGTATATTAATTTTTTTAAATATATAAAAAATAAATACATAAATAAGAAAATTAATTAAAAAATATATTAATAAGGGCAAAATAGTCTTTTAGGTAAGACAGGGACCAAACGGGTAATAAAAATAAACAGTAGGGACCATCCGAGTTAAAAAAATAAATTAATTAAAAAATAAACAGTAGGGATCATCCGGGGAGAGATACAAATATGTGGGTTCTATTAATTTTTATAAATATGTAAAAAATAAATACATAAATAAGAAAATTAATTAAAAAATAAATTAATAAGGGCACAATAGTCTTTTTAGGAGAGACAAGGACCAAACGCACAACAAAAATAAACAATAAGGACCATCTAAGTTAAAAAAATAAGTTAGGGACCAAAAACACAAATTCTCCCAAACCACAGGGACCATCCGTGTAATTTAATTTTTACTTTTCGTTTTGTTCATATTTGGGTAACTATTTTTTTTTACACATCTAGGTAACGAACTTGTTGAAAGCGTTCACATCTAGGATTTAACCTGCTATAGCAGGTCATAATGGTCATATGTGAACATTTCCAACAAGTTTGTTACCTAGATGTGTACAAAAAAAAAATAGTTACCCAGATGTGAACATACCGAAAAGTTAATTACCTTAATAAGTCATATTCCCTACTTAATACTATATTTTTAAAGAAATCGTACCTTGTTAAAAATATATCTAATAATATATTAATATAATTTAATACGTCTAAAAATTTAAGCTTAAAATACAACCCATTAATATAATAATATTATAATTTTTAATCCGTCAAATGCATAATCTCTTTATCTAAACTGACATCGTCTGTTTCCTCTTGGGAAAATGACTTAAAAAGGTAACGACGTTCCAAAAATATACAAAAAAGACCATTGTATTTTTTGTAATACACAAAATACCATTTTACCGGCTATTGTAGGTTACCCGGTTTTCAAATGTTCAAAAAATATCATTGTTGTTTTTTTAGTACAAAAATTACCATTAATGTTACTATTTATACATAGAATACCAACGAAGTACACATGTGTTCAAATAAAACATTGTGGTAACCAGGTACTTCAGGTAAATGAAAAAAATACTTAAAAGTGTAACGAAGTTTCCAAAATGTTCAAAAAATACCACACTTTTTGTTAACTGCATTGTTGTCGAATTATGAAGAACACAATCACCGGAGATCATGAACCGTCATATCAGTTCACAACAGTTGTGCAAATCTCTTTCATTCCTTCACTCGATCGTTCTTGTGGTAACAAGAGAAATAAGTGGGTAATAACTAATAACCTTAGTTAAATGTTCTTGCTTCCCGATCACATTATATGCCTCAAACCTAAAACATATATACGTTATACAAATGCACATATTATACATCAAGGTTAGCCGTTCATTAGTGTTGCGGCACAAGAGAGACACAAAGGAGAAACGAGTGTGACATTATGTCATGAGAATTCCTAAATATGGATTACGATACAAACTGATCGAGTGATGGAATGAAAGTGAGTACACAACTGGTGTGAACTGGTACGAAGGTAACTAATCTCCGATGACCGTGTTCTATATAATTTGGAAACAACGAAGTTAACAAAAAGATGCTCTGAAAAAACAACAATGTTTTTTTTTTTTTTTACTTTTTGGAAATTTCAATGGTATTTTGTACTAAAATATGTACTTCGTTGGTATTTTGTGTACAAATGATATACTTCAAGGATATTTTTTATACTAAAAAAATAATTGTATTTTTTGAACATTTTGGAAACTTTGTTACCTTTTTAAGTCATTTTTGTGTTTACCTAAGGTAATCGGTTACCATAATGTTTTATTTGAAAACATGTATACTTCTTTGGTATTTTGTATACAAAAAATATATTTTAATGATATTTTGTGTACTAAAAAGGAAACAATGGTCTTTTTTATACATTTTTAAAACTTCGTTACCTTTTAAGTCATTTTCTCATATCTCCTTATCTTCCTCTTTAAAATTCGGGGGATTCTAAATACATCCCATTTAAAAGTCAAAAACCATTTTAAGGGTCGAAAGTCATTTTGACTTTAAGTAACCCAATTTGATGGATTTTAATCTTTAGATGATGATTGCTTATGAAATTGACATATTCAATTTACATACTAACTGAATTGCTGGTGTTGTTATAGGAATTTTTATTAGAACTTTCATATATAACCCTCTAAAATATACTATAATATACTAAATTTATAATTTATACCTTCCACTAATAAATATTTTATTCTAGGAATTATCATATAATATCTCAATTTTATTTTGTATACCTATAGAATCTACTTTGTATGATTACACATTTAATTTTATTTTGTATAATATCTTGATTTTATGGGATTTTCATATAATATTTCAATTTTAAAATTTTCTTTAAGTTTTAATATTAACGATATCAATCGGGCTACAAGACGAACCTAACAAATATAAATAGAGATTTGTTCATAACTTTAAACGATAAACCGACGAACAAGAACAATTAAACGAACAATAAAAAACATAATATGATATTTTTTTTCACAACTACAATAAATAAAAATAACAATTACAAAATTGTCATATTTTAATTTTATTAATTATCAGGGACATAAACTACAT